AAAGAAAATCGAAGCCGGTGAAGATACTACTGCTGGGTCAGAGCGAGTCCGGTGCGTCGGATCCTCTCCTCCTTATTGCCGATCACCTACACAGAGCTCGCTATCCAGGAAAATCGACTACTTTGAAGAGTATGCCTCGTCTCGTTGATCATTCCGTCCACTCAGTCCTCCATAGATTTCCAACTCATCAATTCTCCGAAAGTATGTGCCCGCGCTTCGTTCATCCTCGCCCTTGATGAACTCCATCGTCCAGGCATTCAAGTCCGAGCGTGCCTCATGGAGGGCTGTCGTGCATCTCAACGTCGTCCGCTCCATGCGGCTGATCATCAGCGCTCTCAACGAAGCTGAAGCATCCAACTCATCCACCTTCTCACGCGCCGCCGACGATCCAGTGTACCCAGATCTGACACCCGAACTCCGCAAGTGAAGATGCGTCTCCTTCCGCTACAACAAGTCGAGGAAGCCCTCCTCGGCAAGCTCTCTCCCTCTAGCAAGATCAAGAACGAGAATGGGGAGGAAGACCCCGCTCCTTTGCCAGAGGTTTCTGTGCATTCGGCTACTCAATGGAAAGGTGCATTCACTCGCCTCATGAACAATGTTCGAGGCAGTGTGGATGGACCTGAGGCCAATGAGCCCATGGACTCCAGAGAAGCACGGCAACTCCTACATGCTTGCGCTGAGGATATGGTCGAACTTTGGCAAGACCCCACTGTAAAGGATGTTTTGAGAGCTCATCGACTGCGACTGGAGGATATGGCCGGTTTGTAAGTGCACCACATGTATTGATCTTCGCGTCTCATACGTGCAGCTTCCTCGACTCGATCGAGAGAGTGACCGCGATGAATTACGAGCCGTCCGATGGTACGTGATTACTTCATCTGCCTGTTCAGATACTAAAAGAACGCAGATGATATACTCAAAGCCCGCTTGAAAACGCTAGGTCTCAATTTGTGAAAAAGTGCTGACGCGTATGCTCAATCACACGCGCAGGCGTATCCGAGCATCACTTCAATTTCAAGTCTTGTCCGTCTTTTTCGCAGTTGAAGATCTACGTCTAATTTTCCTAGCTTCAACGGGTAACATGGTTCCTCATGACTGGGTGATATACGACGTCGGAGGTGCCAGGTCATTGGTAAGTCGATTATCCGGTTGCATTCAGCGTGGTCGGTGACTCTTTTGCAGCGAGGTACGTTTGTCTCGTCGTCTTGTCAACTTGTGCATCGCTCACATCGACCCACACAGCCGCTTGGTAGGAATTCTGATTCACCACCGTCTTCTACTGATGGACAATAGGGTGCCTTATTTTGACGATATGGATGGTGGGTACGAGAAGCATGCTTTTTGACACCGCTGAGCGTTGCGCAGCCATCATCTTTCTATCGCCGATATCCTGCTTTGACCAGGTAAATTACCGGCCACACTGCATGTGACGATCATGAACACCGATGTTTCGCAGGTCTTAGCCGAAGATGAGTCCGTCAATCGGCTGGTATTGAAGACTGCTCTCCAGATGATCGACTGGTGTTCATTGTGCTTTAGGAGGACTCCATATTACTCTGGAAAACTATCGTCTCTAGCCCTTTGCTGAAAGATACCAGTCTCATCCTGTTCTTGAACAAGTGTGACATGCTCAAGGTCCGTTCGAGTCCTTTTTTTTCTGCGTGGATTCTCACTCTGTCACTAGGCCAAGCTTGCCTCCGGTCAGAAATTCGCCGAATATGTTATATCCTATGGGGATCGTCCCAATGATTTTGAAAGTACTTCCCAATGTGCGATCGATTTTTCTTTGGTTGTGCTTGATGCATGTGCTAACCGCGCTGCAAGACATGAGGAAGAAATTCAGTGGGGCTCCCTGCCTTACTGCGCCCGTGTCGTGCATTAATCCCGTTCTCATAGGCATGATCGCAAAGCAGCACTCGCCCCAACCCAGAAGCTTTTATACATACCTGACCTCCGTCACGGTTTGTGTGTCCCTTGTCTCACCGGCTATGGCTGATCATACAATTCAGGACGCGCGGTCGACATCTGATATCTTGGGTAGTGTTCGTGACATGCTCGTCCGCCAGAATCTCGAGAAGAGTCGTCTTGTTTGATGGTATGTTTTCTTGTTCTGTCGAAACCTGATTCTTATTGATGTGGCCAGCTTTGGATCTTGGAACTATCTTTATCAGTCATGGAATCATCTTCATTTTCATCTTGTCAATCATCTGGAATCCTCTTTATCTTGTGGGTTTGTCGTAGAGTTGAGTCTTGATGGTCTGCTGTCTCGGTAGGTTAGCAGAGCATCTGTATTATGCATCTTGATTACGTCATCGACGCGACTTCGCACAAAGGCGTCATTGAACTTCTCATTTCACTTCTCCTGCCGAATGGCACAGACTAGTGACTCTGAAATGCTCGTGGAGGACTGCACCAATGAAAAGGCGCGTCCATTCTCATGTGTATTGGAACACGGACGTCTCGAAAACTGCACCGACTGTTTCCCTCAAGATCACCTGGAGCTTCCCAGCGAAGAACACGATCGCGAGGGAGACAAGGAAAGCGAGAGAAACAATTCAGATGAAGAGAGGTAAGCAATTATTCTATTTGGCATTCATTTTCCGATTACCTCTCGCGTTCTCGAGCATCAGTCCACCGGACGCGAAAGAGTGCATTGAATCCCTCGTTCTATCCTTTCTACATCAACTTGCTTTTCCTTTCGACCGAGATCAGGAAGATGAAGATGATGAAAGAACATCGGACTCGCAATCAGATGAGCCCAGACAGAAGAAACAGCGGAAGAACAAATGCAAAGCGAAGCCGATTGAGTTGCAGGTCTCGGACAGAAAAGCAGGAGGGTGTGTCAATGCACATTGAACTAGGCAGGAAGCAGAAACATATAGAAGCTCTATGCGCACTATGCGATACCCAGCAAAACGGGCCACGGGGAGCGCAAGATCTTTCGGTGGGTACATGCGCTCTGATGTCCTCATTAGCATCGAAGTCGCGCTTTAGCACAGCTTTTTCGCGTCCTGGATGTGATGCACGAGTCCGTGTTGGATGGGGCGACAGCGACGAAACGGTAAGCCGACTCCGGATGCAATGCGACCGGTCCAAACAAGTCCAGGGACATCTACTATCGAGACGTTCAGCTTTTCCAAAAACAGCGCAATGTGGATAATGTATGCAACCTTCCACGCTGTCGGTCATGGTGTTGATGGTGCATAGCTTGTAGACGACCTCGCGGCGACTTTTGAGCTTGAGAGAGCTGACTTGAATGTAGTGAGTGCCGAACCGTTTCAGGTGCCGTGTCGCCTGACTAAGTCTCAATCAGCGCGCGACTGCAAAGGGTCTCTGCTGCGGATCTGGGTTCAGTCTACGTCTGATGTCGGGGACGATAGTCCAAGCCACGGATACGGAGGTCGGAATGTGAGCTATTGGCAGACGAATTCAATTGAAGGAGGATATCCGCAGGGCATTCTGATTCCACCGGGAGAAGACATCGCTAGAATTGAAGTCGGAGAGGATATTGGCTGGGTATTGGCCGTTGAGAAAGATGTGCGTGTGTGCCACAGCTTGCCTATGATTTTGCCGACGGAAACAGGCGGTCTTCCAAACCCTATCGAAAGCACGTATCACAGCGCACCCGAATCTCCCTCGTGGCATTCTGCTCACGGGAAAAGGGTATCCTGATCTGGCGACGCGCTCACTGTTGGCCGCGCTCTCAGCTTCCCTACCTGCTAAAGTATGCATCTTGGGGTTGGCAGATGGAGATCCGCACGGCGTGGACATCCTGGCTGTTTATCGGTTTGGAAGCCAGAGGATGAATCACGAGCGTGAGAGTCTTCGAGCTTCAAGGCTGAAGAGTATCGGAGTCTGGGCAGGCGAGATAATAGACAAGTGCGTTGATTCTACCTGGCAAACTTCGGATGGTGTTTTGACCTTTAGCAGATACGGGGTCGAACGAGATGCGCTCCTTCCCATTACAGTCCATGACCAGAAGAAAGTTTGTGCATCAGACGTCTCCGATGATGCGTCCTTTGAAACTCCGCGCAGGCCCTTACGATGCTCCAGAGGACTGAACTCCCTAATCGATGGAAGAGAGAACTATCGTTGATGCTGCAAACTCGGAAAAAAGCGGAGATTGAAGTGCTAGAAGGGCGTTTGCTGGACTATGTGGTTGGAAAGATCAAACAAAAAGTGGAAAGTAGAGATTAGAATCGAAATGACCGTTAGAGATCAGGGCCTTGTATGCAGATGTTGTTAGCACCGTCATGAACGTTCGCCCGCCTCCTGCGCGGCCTCACATTGCGATTCACCCGTCGACCTATTCCAACTCCTCATCACGTAACGAATGGGACGATGCATGGGACAGCGGCTCGGATAGTGACGAGGACGCCAAGTACCGAGCGTCGACATCGAACTTGCACCGAATGTCTAATACATCATCAACATCCTTCAACCCCCGCTCGTCGACGTCTTCGTTGAGACAGGGTGCCGTTGCGGTGCCAATCAAACATAAGGAAGCTTCCGCATCGACCTTGGCGTTCTCCTACACACATGTCTCAGCTCCCAATCCAAGCTCATATCCACCCAAAAATGGCTGGACGATAGTAAAGACGAAGGGATGCGATGAGGGGGGTGGCAGCAGCCCAGACGCTGGTGATGATATATCTAGGAGTGGGCAAGGAGAAGCTGACAACGATGCCGATGTCGAAGGGGACATGATTTTGGGGGAGATGGATCCAGACGCGATGGAGGCGATGGCTGTCATACCACCCAAGCCGCGTGCGGACCAAGGTGTCGTTCGACAAGACGTGCTCGACATCGTCAATGATCCTCTCGTCGCTGTTCGATTGCGCCCAAGGCGGAAAGATCCATCCCCCACTCGACCAAGTTCACCTAATTCACCTCAAAGCCGAGAACGCTCTGAAAAGCTGATGCGTGAACGTTCGATACGCACCAGTCGACGACACAAATTCGTCGAATGTCTTTCTGCTCAGGACGTCAGCATCGGTATGGATTCAGTGTCTGCAGAAGACTGAATGCTAAAAGTACCATGTGTAGCGGAGCTGCGAAAGTTGTCCTGGGCTGGAATACCAGCCGACTTCCGACCTATGGCCTGGCAACTCTTGCTGGGCTATCTCCCTCTCCCCACCCCGCTACGCGCAGTTACTTTGGCCCGGAAGCGTTCAGAATATCAATCTCTTGTCGAAGTCGCGTTCGCGCGCAATCGAGAAGGTCTAGACCAGCAAATATGGCATCAAATTGAGATCGACGTCCCGCGCACACGTCCTGGGGTGCGTTTATGGATGCATGCTGCCACGCAACGTCTCCTGGAACGGGTGCTATACGTTTGGGCGATCCGACATCCTGCCAGCGGTTATGTGCAGGGGATCAATGATCTCGTTACACCGTTTGTGCAGGTGTTTCTTTCCGCATATGTTGATTCAGATCCGGAACTGTTTGACCCAGCAATCCTCCCCCAGAGCGCATTGGAAGCTGTGGAGGCGGATGCATTTTGGTGTCTCAGCAGGCTTCTGGATGGCATCCAAGACAACTACATCAGTGCCCAGCCCGGCATCCAACGTAGTGTTCGACGCATGTCAGAGCTTGTCGCTCGAATTGATGCGCCCCTCTCGACGCACTTGGCAACGGAAGGAGTGGAATTCATGCAATTTGCCTTCCGGTGGATGAATTGTCTTCTAATGCGCGAGATCAGCGTGCGGAACACGGTTAGGATGTGGGACACTTACTTGGTCAGTTCCGGTGCTTTGACACGCGGCTATGGTCTAATGGTGGACTAGGCAGAAGGACCGGATGCTTTCTCGCAGTTCCACCTCTATGTCTGCTCGGCCTTCCTTGTCAAGTGGAGTGAGAAACTGCGCCAGATGGACTTCCAGGGCATCATCATGTTCTTGCAGTCGCTGCCGACCCAAACCTGGGGAGACCATGAGATCGAGATGCTTTTGAGCGAGGCGTTTGTGCTCAACTCGATCTGGGCCAATGCGCAGAGTCATTTTGGTGCTCCCGGCTTGTAACTCGTGTATCGTACAATCTCAATGTGAAAAAGTTGATATCTATGTTCTAAACGCTAATGCGAGTGTTTTCAAATTATTGACTACAAGGTGGTAAACGTACAACATACAGTAGTACATACGAGCTACAGTGAAACAAGCAAAATTATTCCCAATTAAAATCCCTAGAATTGTCGCGTCTTCGGGCCAGTGCCAGCACCGGCTGCGTCCAATCGCCTCAGCAATTGTTGGGCGAGTAGAGCTTCCTCGACGTCAATCGCCGAGTCGTAGCCGTCTGCCGGTGGCGAGCTGCTGAACAACGCTCGGTCCGATTTGGAAGGCTGCAGCGGACGTCGCCCAGAGAACTTGGGTGGGACGCGGACACGTGTTCTTGTTCTGGGCAGCGCAATCGGCGGCGTCAACGGGAGAGATCCCCAGGCACTCAGCCGTGTGGGACGATGTCCCTCCTCAGAGCTGGGAACGTGGCTGATTCGGATCGACGAAGGTGGGGTCGCAAAAGGGTCTTTTAGATTCTGACAGTCCTCTGTTCCGGGACTGATTGAGCGAAAGAGTTGGGCGCTTGGTATGGGCTTCCGCTGGGGCCGTGGCGACGAAAAAGAGGATGAACGGGATCCCGACTTGGCCTGATGACCACGCGGTGGGGTTGGTATGAACGCAGTTGCTTCTGATGCCGTTGTGAGCATCGTTGAGGTGTGAATGGACGATTCCGTAGATCTCGAAGAGTGGTGCACGAGTAGGAAAAACTCTATCGCACGTTGAGTTATGAGTATAACATGGTAACGGCACGACACTTACGAAAGAATGCGGCGATAGTGCAGATTGTCCATAACACCAAAAATGCATTGCCCACAATCCTGAAAATCAAAGATTCTGGCATCGAGTGTACAGCGGCTGCGATTTCCAAGCACAGATGGAGCACGGCTGATACATGTCCGAACGCGACACAAACCGAAATGCTACGAGGAGCAGGCGATGAAAGAGCCAAAGTCTCGACTTCAGGGGAATGTCAGCGAATATTCGAGGTTTCTCCGACGACGATCGCGGATATGAAGATGGTGATGACAGGACAATCTGTGGTGCCAAACATGCTCCAGAAATGTTGAGACCGGATAGGTGCCCCAGCACCAGGATGGGAACGGCGAGAATGATCGCGACGAGATACAAAACGGGAGCGATTAGAAGTGGGACGGGCTTGAACGAGCCGACGATCGAGGTCAAGGTAGCTTCAACATGATCATCAGCACCCGCGGTCGATTGCACTGGGGACCACCCACCAGACATTAGAAGTATGGCAAAAATAATACAATAGGGGACAAAAAAAACCGGATGGGCCGAACGGAGATTTGTGACCACAGAAAATAAGTACAGAATCGCGCCCATCACTGTACGGCCGTTAGACCAGAAACCAGAGAGAGAAACAACGTACGCTCGAGATAAAGAGTGGAAGACACGAACGCATACAGTACGGAAACAGGTAGAGAGGGCGTTCGATCGCGAAAGAAGGAGATGGAGCCTGCCAAGATGGCGAGGAGCGCCAGAGAGAATACGACTAGGAACGCAAGTGCGACGCGTCGTTTCTGTCGGCTGGTGTAGACATGGATAGAGGAGGAGGCACGACGCCTGTTGTGCGCAAGGGAACGTGATATTGCGAAGAAGAAGAGGACAACGGCTGCAAGGGGAACAGCGAAGAAAAGAGAGGGTGATATTGCTTGAAGGTGGGAAATATAAGTGCTGGCGACGGGGAACGACATGGACGGCCAGCAAATAATGGAGGCGGGGGAAAAGACACGTTTCGTAGGCTGCGACTGGGTTTTAAGATCGCGAATGGCGGGTGGCCCAAAAGGGAAGGTCTAATAAATTAGTTCCGGGACGGAGATGGAACGGTCGTGCGAGCCTTCTGCGCTGCTTCTTCGCTAGGTCCCATCACTCCGAGGACATATTTGGACCTGCACTTCCTGTCTTGTTTTCCCACTGCGTGTCACTCAGACGACCTCTTGCTCAGAGACCCTCGATGATCGGAGCAAGCCGAGCATTACAGGACGACGCGACATGCAGAGGTCTATACAGTGGCTGCATAATTCCACCCGTTTTGGAATTATCGAGATGAAACACGACATCGTCCTCCATCGAGAACGGAGTCAGGCCGGGGAAGATTTGCGCTGACGGGGTCGAGACCATGGAAGCACGAGGACAGAATTGGCGTCACTGTCAGTTCAGAGGGCAGCCGGCATCCGAACGTAACCATCTCAACGAGCGGCATCCCAACGAGCAAGACGTCTTGTAGGCTACTAGGGCCGGAATGTTGTGTTCTAGCAAGAAAGCCGGCTTTCGCTTCAGTGGAGCTGCCCTGGTCCACCCACTCCAGCTTGAGACCGCAGAGTGTATGATAAGCAGCAATCAGCCGTCGTCGTCGTCGTCGTTGTCTGTCCACCGCCACTGTAAATTGTGCTCGTCGGCAGCGCATTATGGTCAAGAGGAACAAGTGGCGACGACATCAGACATGGCAAATGCTGGTCTAGCTGATAAGAATTGACTCAGATCTTATCTTATCTGCTCCCGACATTGACAGTCTCCGACTCCAGCCATCACATTATCAGAAGGAACATACAATCGTGTGTGATGTAAATGTACATTGTCCGGAGAGAGAGAAACATAGAGCGGATGATCATCCCTTCAATAACAGAAGCCATCCTCAATGACGTGTCCACACCGAGCGCACTTGACTCGCCGATCGAGCAGGCACAGACCGACCCCCAGTGGGAACCAAAATACGGCGGCCAGGATACCTGCCGGAAACGTCAATGTATGCGCCAGAGGTAAGACCTGGACAGTCCGCACCAAGGAAACCGTAGTTAGTCATCGGAACGTGCTCTCCTGCCTGTAGACATATCATTTCAGGGTGATCGGGAGGGAGCTGTTGGAATAAATGCATGATCAGTCATCAGCTGTTGCTAGTAGCCTGCACACTCACCAGAGAAGCGACGTGTTCGCCCGTTCGAGAGTTGTGGTAATGGAAGACCACAGGATTTGCAGAAGAGGAAGGTCCTGCGTGAGGGACATAGACGGGGCTTGCATCCATGACCGGAGCACGTTTGACGTCCTTCACTTGAGCTACGCCGGATCTCAGTAATTCTTCATCATACAATTCTGTAGTGAGGCGTACAAGAAGGAGCGGCATCCTCGTAAGCAGGCGGCTTGTCGTTAGTTTCGTTGGACTGTCGTGAAAGGTCAGATACTGGAGAGATCAGGGTCAGAGGGACTCACCATAGTGGGTGGAGTGAGAGACTGTGGTGAGCCGTCTTGACGATCCAAATTTGTACTTGACGCCGAGACTGCGGCTGCGCAATGCGGTGCTGCGGGGGATTTGACAGGTGGTTATCGTTGTTTGGCGCTTTCCTCTTTTATCGAAAAAATCTTCTCCCTCTCTTCGACAAAATGGACGTCGACAACGCTGGCCCATCCAACACGAATCATGTCGCGCCTAACCCTATGGATATGACATCCAAGGACTAGTTGCGTGTTCTGGATGTGAACAGACGACAAATCACTCAACCGGCGTGTTTTTCTAGCTATGCCGACTCATACGCCCATTTTGGTTCGCACGAACGCGTTTTATCAGCGGATTCGGTGTTAACTCACACGTAGGCATCCACGAGGAGATGTTGAAAGACTCTGTCCGCACGGGATCGTACCGTTCTGCGATCGTGAACAATGCCCATCTCTTCAAGGGAAAGACCGTCTTAGATGTCGGCTGTGGAACTGGTATCCTGAGCATGTTTGCTGCCAAGGCTGGCGCGAAGCATGTCGTTGGTGTGCGTGATTGGATCGGTCTGGCCTTTCCAAGCTTAACATCGTTGAATTTCATACAGATCGATATGTCCAACATTCTTGATCAAGCCCAAAAAATAATTGAAGCCAATGGCTTCAAAGATAGTCCGTCGTCCTGCTCAGTCTTTTAACCGAGCTCATATTCAAATTTCCAGCGATCACTCTCGTCAAGGGGAAACTGGAAGATGTCGAGCTGCCGATCCAAGAATTTGATATTATCATCTCGGAGTGGATGGGATATTTCCTTTTGTATGAGTCCATGCTCGACACCGTTCTTTTGGCGCGCGACAAGTACCTCAAGAAGGACGGATTGATATTCCCGGACACTGCTACACTCTACATGGCAGCTATAGAGGATCAGGATTATAAGGAGGAAAAGATCAATTGTGCGCATGGTCTCCTAGCGGCTCAATTGTCCTGTCCTGATGATCCAAAGTCTGGGACAACGTTTACGGGTTCGACTACTCCTGTATCAAAGACATCGCTCTGCGGGAGCCGCTGGTTGACACTGTTGATCTCAAAGCTGTCGTGACGGATCCTTGCTTGATCAAGGTATGCGTCATGCGTCCCTTGCTTTCTATACACTGACAATCGTACAGCACATCAACATCCTTACTGCTACCAAGGAGGATCTAACATTCCAAGCACCATTCAAACTCACAGCAACCCGAGACGATTGTATGAAGCGAGCCGACGATTCTATCATAAGCTCACCCATCTCCCAGACGTTCATGCCTTCCTTGCTTGGTTCGACATCTGCTTTGAATGCACACACAAAAAGGTCAAGTTCTCTACTGGACCACATGCCCAATACACACATTGGAAGCAAACAGTCTTTTACACACCTAACACGATTACACTTTCTACGGGCGACACGGTCGAGGGCGAGCTGATCTGCGCCCCCAATGCCAGGAATAATCGAGATCTCGATATCTCGATCTCGTACAAGACGAGCACAGACGAGGAGGAGGTGAAGATCAACTACAAAATGTACGTGGTGATCGTTTTACTTTTCTCTTGCTTGGATCTCTGCGTGGCTCTCCTCTCGAACTCAAGGTAGGGATCGCTTACTGACCGGTTTCCAGGTCTTGAGCTGATCCCCTCCTTTTCTTTTTTCTGTCCACATCTTTTTTGGTTGTCCTAATCACCTTGCCTCTGGCAGGTACTAAACCGCGGCGTTCCTCAACTCGCCCCCTTCCGAGGGATCTCTGGGATGTGCATGCACTGGCTATCTGTGTCAGTCAGGCTGCTCATTATTGAATATACATGTAGCGTATCTTTGCTCAATCTATATACTGTACAATCTCAGCCCCACTTAGTCGATCGCGCACACTCAATCGCGCAAAGCGAACACTCCAGCAAAACACACGAGCATCGAGCAGAAAACTATCATGCGCATCTCCTCGCCAGCCGCAGATCGCTCGAATAGGATGCGCACGACGTTCCGATTAGCAGCCGTGGATGGTCGCAAGTCCTGAGCGGACACCTTGGACTGGTGCACGAGACCGCGCCACGGCCAGACCGTTGTACGTCGCTCGTGGATGCCCAAGGTTTCAGGCAATCCGAATTGATCGCGTTCGATGGAAAAGGTGGCGTTGGCTTCGACCAGTCTGGGGATTAAAAAGAGCAGCCACGAACGCCGCGGAAGTGCATGCGGATAGCCCGAGTGCACAAACGAGAGCGAGAGATGGTGTAATCGAGGATTAGACCGCACGATTCGGGATCCTGCTGCAGAAATGGACATGTCACCAGTCGGCACAAGAGTCAGTTTCAAGGTTTGCAGCCTGCGGAAAGCTGGCAGGGATTTGGCAAACGAGTCCTGAAACTTGAATTAGACACAGCAGTAGACAACCGAACTGCAGGTAGGCACCAATTGAAAGGACGAGGTCCGAATGCAACTGAGCTTAAGGTCCCGCAAGTTCGGACATGAGGACATCAGTGCCCGCAGTATGCTGCTGCTGTCATATGGCGAGTGTAACAAGAATGTCACATTCAGCTGGGTGAGAGCAGGCAACTGCTGCAACACGCTGGACAGCGTCATGGTCATAACATCACGTGACCAGAGTGGCTCCCGAAAAGTCAGGGACGTTAGATGCGGGTATGTCGACACAAGCGTCTGAAGCTGCGGGAAAGTCCCAGTGAAAGATGACAACTTGAGAATATCGGGTTCAAGGGCTGTCAGATGACGATGATCGACGTTGTGACGAGAAAGACCGAGACTATGGAGTCCATCATGAGCCTCGAGAAAGGCGATAAACGCGCCTTTTCCGGTTGTCGGAGGCGTTGTCCAGTCCACAGCCACATCCCCGAGACGAAGTTCATGGAGATGCGGCCACCGACCTTCTGTCAAACAACGAACATCAACCGGGAAAGGTGAATGGCCCTCGATCACCAGTTCCTCCAGATTAGGGCATCGCTGGAATAACATGTCCCACAGTCTTTTACTGGGTCTCCGCTCTTCTTCATCTTTATGAGAAACATACGAGATGGACAGCCAAAGAAGCACCTTCTAGTAGGGACACGATATCCCTCTCGTAGAACCCCGGTGTTAGATTCACAGAGAAGCCCAGAAGATCGACGAAGTCGTATAACTGCGGGCCAGCCGGTCAACATCTTCCGCTACACCGCAAGATATGGACTCGCATGACTATTCGAAGGGAAGAATGCGCCAATAGTTGAACTGACGTATCGCAGCCTGGGGCAGCTGGTTCCGAACTTGTCAGCGAGCGAGCTATACGCGAATAATGAACGAGGTACACACCACATGCGGAGAGCAAGCCACATCTCCTCATGGCACTCATCCCCACACCACGAGAACTTCTTCAGCGCATCCAGGTTTGAGGCTATCTCTGCGACAGCTGCTGAAGCCGCTCTGCTATCTGAAATTAACTGTTCTCTGGTGCCCTTCGGTCGAGAAGGCCGGACAATCAATTCCCGAACGTGTCTGGCAATGGTCCGCTGTCGCTTGAGCATATTTAACGTAGCCGTGCATTGCTCCGTTGACCCGAGGAAGACACATTGATATAGAACGGGCGCGAGCTCGTAGTAGAATGATTTGCACTGTCCTACTCCAGTTCCCATTACCGGAAGATGGGGACGAGATCACGCACAACAAAACACAGACTGAGTAGATCCGACCGGTTTGCGAGTAAGGCAGCAACGTCAAGGAGGACGTCTGCAGGTACCCGCGAGAGGCTGAGGCCAACCATGATCACTGTGGGGGAAGAGGGAGAACGCATTTGATCGGCTTGTCGCCGCTAGTTACCGATCTGGAGTTGTTTCCGACCATCACGATGCATGGTCATGTTTCTTATGGTGACCTTCCCGGTTCCATGATAGCAAACCTCGCCGGAAAACACCCATTCACACAACAGGAACGTCAGTGCACGGCGAATTGCAAATCTTCGATCTCCAGCTGACTTCGCTCCTCCAAACAGCTCGATGTCATCTTCCCCGCTGATGACACACTTGCCGCCGCCCTTTCCGTTCTTGAAGCGACCTTCATGGAAGGCTCGATGGAGCTGTCAAGCCTTGCCGAGAAAATCGAAAGCTTCGTGGTCGTGAATGATCAGTGGTCCAGTGAATTTTCCGCTCTTAGTGTGGATCCACACACCGACGATACCTGGTGCATTGATACCCGAGGGCTGCTAACTTTGTATCTGTCGGATGAGAGTTATCAGCAGCTCGGCCTCACCGGAAAGAAGGTTCCGTTCAAGAACCATTTGGAACATGGTGCATACAATCTCGCTTGGCTATTGTGTTCTTGATCATGACATGTCCCAGTCGTATCACTTCCTCTGCAACCTGGTGCGACATCGGAACAGACCCGTCGGAAACGGGACGGTATGCTTAGAGCCTGGGATGATCGCCGCAAACGTGAAGGTCTCGAACCGTGGTCCGTGTTGTTGAATTCCGCGCCGAGTACGTATCTTTACTTATTCAACGTACGGGATTCTAGATTCACATGATGGAAATCCACAGCACAAATTTCCGGTGCTCCCACCCTCACTCAAAAGATAGCCAGGTGCAATATCACCACGACACGCAACATCAGGGCGCCGCAGGTATCCCTTCGCGCTCGCCCAAAAGATCCAGAACCGGGCGAGGACTGGGATGAAGAGATGCACATGCTCCTGGAGTGGATAGGGATGGCCGGCTTGGGGGCTCAACGACTAGCCGCCAACGATCAGGTGGACCCGTTCGTTTCGCTCTACGAAGTTCCAGCTCCATCGCAAGTTGCCGATCTCACGCGCCTGCGGTGGACGGGATTCCTCAGCCCTACATTTGTGCGGTCCGTTCTGGAAGTCGTCGAGACTTCCGTCAAGTACGACATCTCGATTTCACATGATTGTGCTCATCGCTCATGCCACGCGCAGGCCCGATTTTGTTTGCGTGACAGCCAACATGTTCACGAGAACTCCCGTGTCCTATCTGTCCCCAGACAAGCCCAGTCCAATGAGAGTGCCCGATCAGGATGGGGAGGACACTTGGGTGTTGATCTTTGCTGGGACAAAATGGTGCCTTGCAGAGAGCATTGGACGACAGGACACGAGATGGGGATGACCGTAACCACCATAAAAAGCATAGATTGTAGTGGCATATGCGATACAGTCCTCGATATATACATGGTACAACGCGTGAAATGAACGTGCAGGTAATGGGCGTGCAAAAGTCTTGTACATATGGGGCGCTGTAATTCCAAGGCAGATAAGTATATGCATCCTGAAGAAATGATGTGTCGTCGCACAACTCAAACCCTGACAGGAAGGCGCGCCAGCGATTGGCGAGCATCAGGGTTCGTGAACGGCCCGGCGGCAGCATGCGTCATGCGCAGCGTCGGCGATCCAGCGGTGACGGGAGGATGCGCGACCAGCCCGGAGCCCCACATATAAACGCGGGGTGTGCTGTTCACCGGTGGAGACGGGGTCATGAGCTGAGATGAGCTCGTGTACGTCAGGGGCAGAGGCGTGCTCGGGGATTCGGGATAGACGACGCTGTGCGTCGCAGTCTCGACTGCGATACTCAACGGAGAGAGCATAGGTTCTTCCTGATCCCAGGGCACTTCGGTGACACCTACGAGCGCTCGAGTGACGGGGACCGGCGAGTGGTTGGAAATGAGCACAGGGCGCGGGGTATCATCCATCACATGGATGTTCACCATTTCACCGTTGTCAGTTGACGCCAGTGGTGGGTCTACTAATGAATACCCCGGCATGTTGGAAGCAGGCTCGGTGGGAACAGGGCGTGTCCACAAGCCAGACATCCGCATGGGATCCGTGAGGAGCGATGTAAGACGAGGGCTGCTTGGAGCACTTTCCGCGTCCGATATAGGCGAAAACTCGGGCGAGCTTGGTGTCACCTCGAACGTGGTGACAGGGCGTTCCTCAAGATCGACTTCGCCCTGGTCGAGGAAAGCCTCGTACTGGGCGCGTTCGAAGAATTCGTCTGCGTCGGGGTCGAAACGATTGTCGAAACTCCATTTGCGAGGGTGGTCGTCACAGGAAAGGTCGGGGGTGCTCTCCTTGACGAGAACTGAGGTGCGGTACCGGGTCTTGGAGAACAATTCGCGTCCCATTTTTTGGAGAGATTAAAGCAATTCAATGAAGGATTGCAAGTGATGGAGAAAGATTAACAGACACAAGTCCTTTTGGTGGATGGGGGACAGAAGAGAAACGTAATGAAGTGGTGTGACATAAGTGACGGAACGTGACGGAACGCGTTTCTGGCCGCTCAAACTTTCTTGCATATTGCATAGAGGGGCAAGAGGAGATCTGACATATCAGCTGTTTTTGGACTTGCGGTCGGATTACTCACTCTGCAAGTTGCGTTGCAGATACAGTGGGAAGTCGTGTGGGATACAATCAGATAAGATCACAACCTGCGGAAGTAGCAAATGGTGGGGATAAAGTGGCCGCGAAGCAAAACTGCAAACCTCCAAGGTCGGGAAGATTTGGGACGCATTTCGCTCATGAGGAGCACAATGCATGCACACCTCACAGAAACAGGAAGCACGTTTCGGAAGAGTACATAGATACAGCCGCAGCGTGTTATGCATATGCGCAGCCGGCACAAGGTAGTACTGTATGGCGTGGGAAGAATGTCCAAATTAGGGGAGTCAGACAAGCGCAAACAGAAGACTACGACGTAAAGACTTCTCTCACCAACGGCTCCCCTTCCTCCGCGTGTTATCATGTCGTCCACGTCCTCTGCAGCGACGGATGGCTCACGCTCTTCATCTCCACCTCACACACCTGAGGCAGACCCCATTTACCCGATAGCGATCCGCCCTGACCTCGACCTGAACTCCTGGTTCCACCAATCCGACACTGACTCTCTCCTTTCTCCACAATCTTCGTGGCCGGACGGACTATCTACACTGCCCTTACACAAATCCGAAGGAGTGGATAGCATGCTGCATCTTGACGATCTGTTGGAGCAGAACGCGTATGATGAGTGCGTTTCTCTAGCTCCCAGTTTCTCACTATCATCTCACATTTCTGAAGCTCACCACCTCCTTCGTTCGACTCACCCGAGATTCCTGACCTGACGAAGCCGGCCAACCTACAGCCTATGGCAGATTACACCTCAGCATCCTTTCATTCATCTTTCAGTCATGGCGGCGAGAGAGCCTCGAAGCCAATCCCCCCTCCAGCCTCGGTTCAGCGCAAAATCGATCCATCCAGCTGCTCTAAGGTCGTCTTTCCGCCCAAAGACTCGTGTTACAAGTGGGTATCCCTCGCTGCCCCTGAGCAAATTTGCTGACCTCTGAGGCAGCCTGGCACTCATGTTCCCCAGTCTGCCTGAGGGCGGGGCGAAGTCGCGTGTCGAAACGCAGATTCGTGTCACCGTTGACCTGGCAGACTTTAGCTCTTCAGCTGATCCCTCGAAGTATAATCGAGTTGGCTCTTGGAAATGGCTTCAGCTGCCTCGAGGAACGGCGACGAAGCGAAGGACCAGGAAACAGGGCAAAATCGGTGCGCTCAAGTATAGCCCTGTTCCTCACACTCTGACGATGTTTTGGATTAGATCCAGACCCGATGGACGTTCTGCACTTGACAGCCGCCGTTACTTGTTCTACGTCTCCTAATAACCGCGTGTACAGCTGCAGCAGTTGCCAATCTCGCGAGGTCCGTTTTGGTGATTGCCTTGATGACTCATGCTTATATCGTCTCCCAGGCCAAGCGAGTCGCTAAGAAGCTTGCAGCCAGGGTCCGACCTGCGCGTTCTGACTCCGAGTCGGGCGGTGAGGAAACTGGCAAAGCGAAAAGCAAGAATCATGAAGATACGACCAGCATCATCCAGTTCAATTGTGCTGAGACCCAGGACTTCTCGGCTGGCACGGTTGTTCTTCCCCTCCGGATAACGTGCTATTGCCGTCATCACAGAGAGAAGGTCGGATTTAGTGTGAATCTCTCTGTCATGGACCACGCTGGGCGGATTGTTGGTTCCGGTGTATCGAAACCCATCATGATCACGGATGATCATAAAACACCTGGCACCAAGAACCCGGCACTGATACCTGCGTCCGAGTTTGACTGGGCGCGCGAGCAAGGACAAGCGGCGCCCGAAGCTCGCGCTCCCTCGAAGAGGAAGAGCGAAAAAACAAGCTCAAAGATCAAGAAGCGTGGGAAACCCTACGAGAAGCCCAGCCGAAGTTCCAGCGTCGTGGACCACGCTTCCCCCGAGAGCTCATATGTCGACACCAGAGCGTCGACCCCCAACTTGACGACGCAAACGGTGGCCTCCTCGCATGACTCGGATTCGTCGGTGGACACTCCAGCGACGCCACCCGACTATCCTATGCTCGGGATCGAAGCTCCAGATACTCAGTCCTGTTTGCCACTACCTGACGACTCCGCGCTGTCTGCTGCCCTGATGCCGTTCCTTTTCCTGGATGCCCTGGAGCCGACGCAGCCGCTTTCTCTCCCGCTTCCGATGATCCACCGCTTGATCCCCAACGCTGGGCCTACACATGGAGGCACCGAGGTGACCATCCTCGGTGCTAATTTCCACGAGTCTTTGCAGCTGGACTGCGTGTTCGGTGACGTCATTGCGCCTTCCACACAGCGATGGAGCGACAACACACTTGTGTGTATCCTGCCTCCGCGTGCGACTCCAGGTGTTGTTTCCGTCTATTTTAACAATCTTCCGAAACCTGCCGAGATGCAAAACTCGGCTTCATCCCTGTTCACCTATTCGGATGAGTCTGATCGGGCACTGTAAGTCTTCTGGCCGCCGATAGTTATCTCTCGCTGACACATGCTCAGAATGGAGCTTGCTTTGCAAGTTGTCGGATTGAAGATGACAGGAAAGATCGAGGATGCTAAGAATGTCGCCATGCGCATCGTCGGAAATGTCGGCGAGGGCTCAAGCATGCAGACCGAGACCTCGTCTGGTGGGGGAATGATGCATGTCGCATCTCCCTTTGTTCTGGGGTCCCGCAATCAGGGAGAAGACTTGGAAACGCGTGTCATGCAGCTGCTCTCTCTGACGAACACCCCCGTCTCCAGCGGCGTCTCTCTCGAATCAGCCGTTTCCCTGATCGCACCGAGTGGACAAGGTCTCTTGCATCTTGCTGCTTTGTTGCGGTTTGGCAAACTTGTGGACTGGCTTGTGCAAGCTGGTGCCGACATCGATTCACGCGATCGCGCAGGGTTCACTCCGCTTCACTTCGCGGCACTATCCGGTTCAGATGTCTGTGTGCGGGTGCTGCTGCATGCCGGAGCTGACCGCGAAATCGTGAATGCGATGGGCAAGACCGCAGAGGAAGTTGCCGCTCGCCCGGACATGTTCGATTCAGTTTCGAATCTCGCACAGGCCGAAGCTCATCTGTTGGTTGATGATGAAGCGCATTGGGGTGATGCCGAAGAAGAGTCGGATGACGAGGGGCCTAGACACGTCCCCCGACGACGGACCTCGCGTCGGCTGATGAAGCCCGGTGTCTCTGGCAAAAAGACACCGCGATCGGTGATCACACCTCGAACGTCGTCGTCATCGTTGTCCAGCAAACGCACAGCAGCTGACGACAAGCATGCTGCAAATCTGTTCGAGATGATCCAGCGGACCCTCGCCCAGTTGCCTGCGCCGCAGCTGCGCAACTTGCCTGGCCTTGCCCAGCTGCCGGAAATGCCAGCTTGGGGCGCATTGCCCCATCTGACGCCGGTGTTCCCTGTGCTAGTGCCTTGGCCAGCGTTCCTGGGTGCTGCCGACGAAGAAGTTAAGGGTCTCTCCGCCCGCGCCGTGCAGGAGATCCGGGCATGGGAAAAGTGGATTGCACTAGCCCTTACCCGCCAACAGGCTGAGGAGGCGCCGCCACCGATGTACACTCCTCGCGAACCTGAAACAGTCGAAAAGGTGGAAGAGGAGATCTCTACTCCCCGACAACCCACATATCCGCCCGTCACCGAGCAGGAGGTCGACTCGTTCGCGTATGTGCCAACAGAGACACCGAAGAAACGTGCGTGCCATCTTTCTGTGTCGCGGACCGTCTTTGAAACTGACTGGGCCGTTCAGACGACAGAATGTTGCTGTTCTTCTGGCTTCCGATCTTGATGAGTGCGTGCTCCTCTCTTCTTTCCTTGTCCTCCTCTCTGATCCATCTGCGCAGTTTCTATACTATGGGCGATGCATAGTGGCCTGCGGATTGCGTTCCAAACTATCAAGGGCGCTGTCCCGCTAGGTGGCCTTGGACTTCGGGCGTAAAGGCTCTGGAATTTTTTTGTATATACCTATGTAAATCTACTTCTACTACTGTACGGAATATTCATGCACAATGGTAAATAAAATTCGGAGTGACCCTCCTTGATACTCATTACTACGTATGCACTTGAGCCATAAAATCGCCTGGGACTCTATCAGCTCCCACCTCGTCTACATTCACGAGAACAAATCCATCACACCTCATCGCACAGACCTGTTCTTTCGCGACGAATCCTCTCAGGCCAAGTCTCTCGATCACTTTGCCCGCACACTCGCTGGCGCCATCCGCGAATTCTCCGCCACCGAGCGCACCAAGTTCCCTACTCGAGGAGAGTTGCAAGCAGCAGCAGCAGCAGCGCCCCTCCCCGATCCTGTCTTCAGTAATGAGATACTGGAGCGATACCAGCCCGATCTCGTGCCGTACTCCTCACTCACGCCCCAAACACAGTCCCTCGAGTACTGGATAGCGTGCGCCGAGCCGCAGGGATCGTACGGCACGAGCAACGGCAGCTTCGCCGACGTCGTCAAGGTCCTCCTCGCAGAGAACGAGCTGGGCAGGTGCCTCATGCTCGCCAATCACCCGCGCATCCCGCTCGGAGACCTCCACAGCCTGTCGTGGGGACACAGCTTCGGGTGGAACCACACGCGCGACTGGGCGCTCCGCTCGTACATCTTCCTCAACGTCGTGCTGGCGCGCCCCGAGCTGATGCTCGCGGACGCGAAGTACAAGCGCCTGAAGAGCTACGAGCGCATGGTCTGCTTCGCCGGCTTCTCGGGTGACTTTGACGCGCAAACATATCTGCATCGGATGTTCTGGTTCGGCTCGCTGGACGCGTATGTGCCGGAGAACTTGATCGACCCGTTCGTCGATGCACAGCGACTGCACGAGCATTTGAAGACGTGCTTCCGGGTGCTGTATCAGTACGATGTGCTGGCACGTGAATGCGGGAAGGACGACAACTGGGAGAGCACCATCACGGACACAGTGAGCACGCTCTGGACAGTCAAGACAGAATACCACCAAGACGACGACCAGGGGTGGATCAGGAGATTTGCGTGAAAGCTACAGTAGATTGCTGTGGATAGTACAAATGTTGGATACTTACTAGTAGTGGTGGAGATACATATGTGAAAAACTCTACAGGGATGTCGGCTCTGCGACATCAGGCTTGAATCGCAGGCGTGCTACCAGGAGGGTGTCCCACGTACTGTTGCTCGTGTCGTGAAACGAGACTTTGCTTGCAGAGAGCGGGTGGCCGACAACCGGCTCGTGGTAAGAAGGGCCTGCGATCTCCAGCCCGTTGTCCGTCGTAAATGTCCCCCAGGCATGGCCACATTTCAACGACGAGAAGATATTGAAGTGAGCCTGCATCAACAGCTCAGCCAGCACACGATGAGCGATGCTCGAAATCACCAACCTGGCCGTCAGGGTGCTTGTGGCTGACAAATAGTCCATATTCAGGCGAACCGAGCGTTCCGATGACCAGGAACAGGTCCTCTTTCTGGATCTGGTGGATGGGCCCGTACGTCCGGATGATCGAATCGACGTGAGCTTTGAACCACTTCTTCGGCGCATCCAGGCTGTCCACGTAGCGGTACATCGTTGTCTCAGTGCACATGTAGGCAGCTTTGTGTCCCGCGCGCAGTGGATACGAGTATCGCCTGCTCACATTTTGTCTGCAGAATGTTCAAGCCAGACGCCATATTGAAACAGGCGACTCACGAAACGGGGCCCTCATGCTTTGTTTTGAACGTCAAAAGGCCGGCGATGGCATCCAACCCGCGCTGTGCTGCGTTGCGCTTGTCTTGCCGCTGCCCGCCGCAAGACACGTGACCGTACCCATGAACTGAGGGCAAGTTGTCGAGCAGTCCTTCGTCCGAGACTTCGGGGCTGAAGCAATTGAGCAGCGTCACAAACTCTCCACTCGGTTTCGACAGATATCCGACAGCTCCAAGACTGATGGGAGCAGGGCTCCACAGCGGAAGCGTCACTGCGCGCAATGGGTGTCAGTCGCAGCGAAACCAAAACAGTCGCGAACTCACACGAAGGATGGAAATCGTGGTTCAGTAGCAGTCTGTAACGACGCTCGTTCCAGAGCTCCATCGTGCGGGGGTCCGTTGGCACAAACGCCTTTTCTTCGTCGTCTGGAACACTCGATAGTGTGTTGCTCGTGTCATCCGTGGACGATGACACCTCCGTAGCCACCGAGTCTCCGTGAGACGGGGTGAATAGAATCTCCTCCGAGTGGCTGCTCGTCTGCGAAGGGACGGTCTCTTCCAACGACACATCAGCGAAGGATTCTTCGAGCTGTGCGGTGTGGAACGACGTGTTGACGGAGTTCGTCCCCGTAGAAGGCGTCGAGGAACGCGTCAGAAATGGCAGCGCGCCCGCAATAGAGAAAGCGCGGGACGGATCACCGAGAGTTGAGATCGGGTGCATGTCCGGAGATTGTCGACTGAGTCGATCCTCCTCATCGATACTCCAGTCCGGCAAGCGTGGGGTTTTCATGCCGGGGATGTCCTCGCCAGCAGACATGGCGCCGCCCAGATTTCTTCGGATCACTCTGAGCTCATCGACTATCTGCGCAAACAGTGGCCGAACAGCCGCGTCCCAATCCCAGCAGGCACCCAAAAGCTTCATGAATTCGGCCGTGGTGTTTCGAGACAGGGGAACTTGGGGACGAGTATTCTCTTCTGCTTTCGATTCGTTGAGATGCACTGGATGGAGATGATGTACGCACTGATCACAAAATATCGGACATCTTCGTCATCCGACAGAGGCCAAGGCATCTTGCCCAGCGTCAAGATCTCGACACAACACATTGCGAAAGCGTAGATGTCCATCGCAGGTGTGAGCTGACAATGGCCCAGCATCAGCTCTGGCGCTTGCCACCTCAAGGTCCCATCTCCCGGAACATATCAGCAAATGCAGTGGGTGAGAAAGATCCAGGAAACTCACGAGGTGTCCCTGTCCCACTGATTCGAAACACCTCCGACTTGAGTTCACTTTGACCAAAGTCTGAGACCAAACAGTGCAAGTTGTCGTTGACGAGAATGTTTGCACACTGTACAAACGGTGATCAGTATATGAAGAGACGGAAACTGACGCCAACAAGAACCTTGAGATCGCCATGCAAGACACCCTGACCATGCAGATAATCCATTCCCTTAGCGATTTCATGGATGAACCTGAGAAGATCGGGCTCCTCCTTGACAGGATAGCCAGCAGGAGCACTGATATGGCGAGGACGCGTGCTGGCGGAGCCAAGGCCACTCAGATGGCCGCTTGGTACACTAGAGAATCGTTCACGAGAGTCCTCCAGGCTGCCATAAGTTTGTCGGAGGTAAGCATTCAAACACCCGTTCTTCTCGTATGGGCAGACAAAGAACCAAGGTCCGTCCCCAGTAGCAGCACTAGCCCCGTAGAGCTCAAGAACGTGCGGGTGCTTGAGTTCTTTCCATATCCCGATCTCCTTGAGAAACAGCTTCTGAGGAGTGCATTCTGCCAGAACTTTGATCGCCACGACTCGACCCCGCCAGAGACCGCGATGGACATCAGAAAAGAAACCCATCCCTATTCTTTCGTCCAGATCAACCTCATATCTGGAATCGCGAGTGAATCATCAGTGCTCGCCGCAATCAAGTTTCGCACCTAGTGATTGTCCAACTCGGTAAACCCAGTTCGCCCGGCTTGCTCAACCGCCGCAATGCATCTATCCCACTCTCCAAGAACTCACGGTCTAGCATGTCATGATTATCCGCAGTCAGTCCACCGCAGACGCTACTGCCAGAGCTGGAAGCAGAGATGGTTCGCTCCACCGGCTCAGGGCCGACTGAAACTTGGGCCTGCTCCGAGCAGGACTCTGCTATCAAAGGCGACGGAATGCACGAGCTCGTCAAACTGTTGACGATCCCGATACGCTCCAATGCGCGTTGGAGTGTTTTCAAAGCTTCTGGCATATCATCTCGCCGGACCTAGCTCAGTGTTCAGCTTCTGCACAGTCGCACACGCATACACGCACTTGTAACACCCGTAGCATCTCCGCATCGCTGCTTTGACTGACAGCATTTCGCATAAGATCCCTCAGATCAGTCATGTCATGAACCCGATCCAGTGTGTTCTGCCTGTCGTGGAGATTGTGCAGTGTCGGTAGAATGACCGGTTCTTGTCCACCCGCAGCCGAAAGCGACTTGTGGGACGAACTGGGCGGCAGGCCGTTGGTCCCGCTAGGGATTGATATACCCAATCCCTGGATGGTGACGGATGTAGAGCCAGCTGCACATGCAATCTGCTGCGAGTTAACGACGGAATCGAGGATTGCAAGAGTGTCGTTGTGTCGGTTGAACTCGACAGCTTGCACCTGCTTGAGTATTCGGATTTGGATTGAAAGCTAAGTGGCAACATGAGCAGTGAATTTGATCAAAAGGTGGTGAAACCGACCCCGAACAGACTTAGCGCCTCTCCAAGTGCCTTGTCGCATCCTACAATCTCGCGCAGGATTTCCGCCCGCCTTAGATATCGCTTGAGAAATGGGCGCTGAGCTTGCTTGCTCATGAACAGGTGGACGCGCTCAAAGGTACTGCGATGTGTCGGCTTATGAAAGTTCAGCAAAATGTCAATTCGTACCTGTTCAGCTTCTCAATTGGCGCAGTGAGCTCATGCCCAACCTCATCTCCTGCGTCCCTGATCTCTTCCCTCACAGACATGAGGATATCGGCACAGCGTTCCGCGAGGCGAAGGCACGCCATCCTGTTCAGCTGAGAGCAGCACATGAGTAGCTGAGTCCTTCAGCACAACAGGTTGCACACTCACATCAACACCTTGCACATCATCCCAGATTGAAAGAAGGCATTTGGCTGCCATCTGAAGCCCGGGCACTGGAATAGGAATGACCTCCATGAGTTCTGATGCACGGAGCAAGATTTCGTGGCTGAGGAGCACAGATGTACCGAGTACGTTGGTCACTGCCAGTGAAACACGCTAAACGACGCGTCGGCTTGTATCTCATAATCAAAACCAGAATCTGCGCACCTTTTGAGTCCGAGCCCAACTATCAGTTTGTTCGGCAGGGACCGTCCCTTGCCGCTTGGGCGAGTCGCGCCAGGGCCGCGGGAGTATCTCCTCGCGAAAGTTGCGACCCCACCAAGATGTCGGAGTGGGTGAAGTGGGGTGTCCGGCCGGACGCGAGACAGACTCTTCGAGATTCGCTTTGGGACTCGCCATTCCCGCTGAAGCAAAGGACGCCCGAGTTTGGCAATGCGACCGCGCGCGAGCGAGGAAGGAGGAGGTTGGCGCATCGTGGAATGGAAACGAGCACTCGTCGATGTAGCTTGGTGGAGGAGTCACCGGCGTGGACGCTGTCCTTGAGTGGGACAGCCTCCCGGGCAGTCGAGTGGTGCCTTGGCCTTGTGAAGAGGATAGCGGGGACAGTGGCGAGAGGAGGCTCGATGTCGAGCGACCGCGCGGGCGGTGGCCAAGGGAGGACTGCGAATACCCTTTCAAAGTCGCGTTCGAGTCGGAGGATAGCATAGGAGCGGGAACAGGGCTTTTGTGAATGGGGACCTGGGAGGAGGACGGCATATTGAATGAAATCTACGCGCGTTTCGTTCGACGAGACACGCGAATGCAAGGGAAATGTACGCGCAAAATGGCGTATAAAAGGCAGCACTGAAAGAATGGCGGGAGAAGAGGCTTTGCGAGTGAATGTGAAGTGCAGGAAGCAAGGACTCCGGTGCTCGATCATTATGAGTGCGGTGACGGGTCCGCGGAGTTTCGACCAAGATGCACTGGAGTTGTTCCATAAGTAGCCGTAACTGCAGTGTCATGAGGAAACTGAGATTTTGCATGATATCTTCCAAAAAATGGGTATGTTAGTCGGTTGCATGTACCAGTGTGTGCAGTATCCATGAAATGACTAGTACGCGGAGAAGAGGGGCACCCAGAGAAAAGCAGTATCGGCGATGGTCCGCGGACTCCGGAGCGGTTCTGGAATCTCCACAGCTATATCGAAATAAAGAAGGATCTCCGCACATGTTGAGCCCGTATCAAAGGAGTACTTGGGTGCATTTCGAGACAGAACATTAACAAACCGTGACGTCGATCGGATTGTCGAATCGAGCAGACTCAGTGGGACACTGTAAGGCATCCAAAGGGCAAAAGCAACTGATCTGTGTGCAAGCAGCCTGGATATCCTCCCCGATGAGGCAGAGTCCGACACAGCCGTATGTTTGTCAAGAACCCTGGGAGGCATTTCAAGAATGATGATGGTGGCAGTGCAGGGAGAAAAATCTTCTTGTACGCTTCAATGCTCACATGGTGGGTTCTCTGCCGGGTCTAGAAACCTGTTTGCGTCTCATCACTCTAGTAAAGATCAAAGCGTAAAGATATACCTGTCAAGTTCCATACTGTAGTCATCGGCCGCGTGGCAAAATGGTTACTGCGTTGCTTTCCGGTGAGCTGCTAGGCAAAGATTCCAGGTTCGATCCCTGGCGTGGTCGAATAAATTTTGCTCTGTGCTTGTGTCTTCTCCCTTGGCTTGATGACCTTTCAGTTCCCAAGTGAATTCTCGCCACTTTTTCTGTCCCCTGATCAAAGGGGATCAAAGTTGGAATATGTGATGCCATCAATCTATAGCCTCATCCACTTTACCTCATCGTCCATTCAACTCCGCACTTGCCCTCTAGGCCTGTTGCTCCATTGTCGATGGTGTGAACTGCCTGCTCTTCTCTGCCACAACTATGCCTTCCGTCGCTTTCTTGAGTGTGTCCCGTATCCAGATCCCAGTTATGCAAATTGATATGCAACTGCACTTCCCAGGCTCCGAAGTTGTCTCTACCCGTACTCTCTATGACCGTGCTCAACAGTCGGAGCCGCCTGGGTGGGTATCTCTCTGTGCCCCTTCTGTATCAGCTACCCAACTCCTCTGCTTCTGCTTTAGCCCCAAACCCAAGACCCCCATGATCGCAGGGGCCACCATCGGCAGCGTTATGGGCGTGGCCTACTTAATTGGATTCACTATCTACTTCTACAAACGCTGGAAACGCAAGAAACTCAACCGACAGATCGAAGCGGGCCAAGCCACGCCGAAAGTCCGCCCCGAGCCCAAGGAGAAGGTCGTGATTCCTCCTGACCCCGCTGTGCTCCTTGGCCAACACGAAGGCGGAGAGTACGTTCATGTGGATGAAAAGCGACGTTTTTCCCATCACAAGCAGAAATCTGTCGGCGGCGCGGTGAACGGGGCTACAGGGTCGACGTCGCACCTTGTGGGGTCGGATATGGCAGAGAAGAGTCGAATGTCGGAGGAGGAGGGGCCGTCGACCGGTGTGCTATGATTACTTGGACGAGTGAGCCTATCTAGTCTTGTAACCACGGAGTTCTCACGCCCATCCTAGTATATTGCGTACATTCCTACTTATTTCCAGTTCATATCTTACACTCTCGGTCGATGAATCAATCAGTCGCAGTAAGCACCCATGCTGGCCGGCTGCGGAGTACATCAGACAAGGTTACAAGCGCAGTATCCGCCATGCGACTCACGGCTACGTCCCTCGCATACCGCAGAAGGATGCCTCTCTTCACGTTCAACTTCGAATTGGCAGACGCCTCCCAGAGCGCCTTTCTCCGTGCCTCTTCCTCCTGCGACACAAGCCATTGAATTGTCTTGCTGTCTGCGTCGATGATGATCTTGTCTCCGTCCTCGACCAGGGCTATGGGACCGCCTAGCCGGGCTTCGGGGACCACATGTCCGATGATGAAGCCCCGCGACGCTCCACTGAACCGGCCGTCGGTGATGAGGGCCGTTGAATTGGCAAGTCCAGCACCAGCGATTGCTCCGGTCGGACCTGTGCAGAGTCTTCAACGCAGTTCTGTCAGCTTAGCACTCTGTTCTCACCTAGCATCTCAGGCATGCCTGGTGCGCCTTTGGGACCTTGATAACGGAAGATGAGGATCATGCCTGCCTTGATTTCTCCGGCCTCGAGTGCGGGGAAGAATCTCTCCAGGCTGAAATCTCGATTACGCTGGGTTCCTGGATGTGTCTGCGTCGCTTACCTGTCGAAGCACTTGGCCACTCCCTGCGCATTTCATTCAATTGATGTCATGATAAACAGGCGTCCACCTACCTCGAAACGGGAGCCCTCCTTCCCAGTCAACTTTGCGACCGCCGAGCCGGGACACAAGTTCCCATAGAGAATCGTCAAATGTCCGGTCGGCTTGATTGGGTTGTCGAGCTTGCGGACGACATCCTGGTCGAAATTGAGCTCTTGAACATGTTCCAGATTCTGGGCGAGCGTTTTTCCGGTGACTGTGAGCTGGGAGCCGTCGATGAGGTCGGTGTGGTTGAGAAGATATTTGAGGATGGCCGGGATTCCGCCCACTCGATGAATGTCTTCCATGTAATATTTTCCAGATGGCCTGACATTTGTCAGTGCTCGCCATGAGTGCTGAACAAATGGGATTACTTCAGGTCCGCCAGGTACGGTGTTTTGTCCGTGATGGCTTGGAAGTCGTCGATGGTCAGCTTCGCATGACTTGTGAGCGAGGATATCACTTCTTCAAGGGCCGTTCAGCTTACCTCGATATCAGCCGCCCGTGCCATGGCGAGGAGGTGGAGGACTGCGTTGGTAGAGCCTCCGAGAACGGTGATGACGACCATCGCATTCAAGAATGACTGGCGGGTGAGTATGTCCCTCGGCTTGATGTCCTTCTCGAGCAGATTTTTCAGGTATCCCGCAGCTTTCATGCATTCCTGGACCTTCTCTTCTTCCCATTCAGCTACGATTCACTTTCATAGCAGTGGAAGTACAAACCGGGGAACGTCGCCGGAGTGCTCGACGAGTAGGGCAGCGACATGCCGAGGGCCTCGAGTGCGGAGCTCATCGTGTTGGCGGTGTACATTCCACCGCAAGCTCCAGCACCAGGACATGCGTGACGAACGACGTCAAATCGCTGCTCGTCTGTGATGTTTCCGACAGTGTATGCCCCAAAAGATTCGAACGCGTCGGAGATGTTCACGGAATCTACGCCTCCGATCAATCACTCGCTGGTTAGCACACTGAATTGTGCGAACCGCCTTTCTTATAACCCATTGCAGGACAGTCTGTCTTTCAGTTCCAGAAATAGTGACGGAAGGGCGTGTGATATAGATACGCACCGGCATGGCGAGTCCCGGTCTGGATTGTCCCTCCGTAAACGATGATTGTCGGTCGATTGTGGCGCGCTGCTGCCATGAAGCATCCCGGCATGTTCTTATCGCATCCCGGAATCGAAATATTCGCGTCGTAGTGCTGCGCCATCACAACAGATTCAATCGAGTCTGCTATGATATCCCGACTGGGGAGGCTAGAGAAGTTGAGTCGAATCCAGCGCTTATCCGATATGAGGACGGATAGCTACGAGTATCTCATCCCTGGGTGAAGTGAGATCGTGCTCGTGTGTCCTGACATGCCACAAACCGTCAGTTCCCATTGTGATAGCGTCGCTAACACCGATGGTGTTGAAGATCAGTCCGACCATGTCTTCATCGCTGCATCCCGATTTGACGTGTTTCGCGAGATCCATCTGGGACGAGAGTGAGAAATACGTGAAGAATCCCATTGGAGACCCTCTACCAGATGCGAATTGCAGGGATTGCCTGGTCGTAGCCATCAGGTCGTATGTCTATGCACTCAGATCCTATACGAACCTTCCCACCAAATGGGAGAGATACCGATCTGCGGACATAAACAATCATTCGAAAGCGGTACATCGAATATACCTGGGGCTTCTCCATGTCTGCCTCGCTCAGTCCTACCGCGTACACTGGCCAGGTCGATCAACAACAGACCGAGCATAGGAAGGGTACCTGCAAAAACTCACGCATCGCTTGAGCTCCACCCCGCGCCTGGAAAGGTTCAACATCCGGGAAACAAGAGCGCTCAAAAATGACGCACTTTCACTTGCGTGAGCTGCGACGAAATCTTATTCAATTTGGCATTGGAAGCAGGTACAGCGGGGGCTGTCGGCAACGCGTGGCTGCGCGCACGGAATCAGTTTGAAGCACCCTTGGAGCTCTCCACGTACATCTGAACGCCCTCTGAAGACATTGTGGGGATGACAAGTGAGTGAAAGCGCCAGTAGTGACAGTACGAGATATCCGCGGACGGAATCCATTTTAGAATCTGGGGTGTGGGGTAGCACGGACCGGTGATGACCGGTGCGGTACACGCCGGTCCCGCTCCCATGTTCTCGAAGGCCAAACCTGTCCTCCATGGACCATCGTGGCTTCGGGTTCGCACCTTTGCTATCACCTGTCCACATCACATGGTCTCCGTCTGTGATACGCGTGAAGGCGTTCGAGTGACCATCGAGTCTCGACTCACTCTCGAGTCTCAGCTAGACTTATACACAGTGGACGCACCGCCTCGGGAAGAGATTGCCCGAACCCATTAGCACCCGGGCTTCTGAGTTCAGAAACCAGTTTACGAGCAAGGCGACGGTCCGATCTCGTCTGCTCGCATATACTGTGCACGTCCACACGATGCGCGCCTGCGAACCCGTTTCGTCTTTTGACAGCCACGACTTCCGCGCTGCGGCCCTCCGTGCAATTGGTTCTACTTCTTTCCAGTGTAAGAGACATACTGGACATGTGAGCGACTCCGTCTGCGACCTGGAATACGGTCCGAACGAGGCACTGATGGGCCGAGCTGCCTACGCTGGCGACACTCCTGAAACTCTTCGGTCCAAGCGTTTCCCCCTCCTCAAGATAAACCGCAATCCATAGCTCGCACAGACACTCCCAGCACGAGAGCTGTACGAGTTGGTGAATAGTCCGTTTTTGCCGAATGGGAGATCCTTCCAAACTCTGTGACGCCGATATCAAGGAGGATCGGACAGAGATCCTAGATCGCCTGCCTGAGGGATCCCGAGTTCGCTGCGCTCAAAGAAATGCCGTGCGTGAATAGCCGAAGGAGAACGCTCAATAGCTTACCGAAACTGCTGCATCCGTCGTTGCATCGAACTTTATTGACTTTCCAAAAGTGGAAATGAAATTGGATCAAGCCATCAGACACTTTCCATTGCTGAGACGCAACCATAGCGCGGATCGCTCCAGGATTTTGGGAAAACCTAGTGTACCATACCCTCATGCTCTGAATCAAATTATGTATAATTTTGTCGAGCCGTTCTCTCTCAGTGGTCTAAACAAGCAAAAATATCACGTTGATTCAATTTCAATACTGCATCAGGAAATTAGGCAGCCTCGGCCGAGCGCTCGGAATGTACCGGTAGCGCTCGTGATGCGTGATGCGCACTCGGCAGCCGATATCAGCCCGTTGTCGATCACGAGCGCTCAGAAACGCCACCCAAAGTGATCCGCGCTTGTCAGATGCTCGTCAGCTGTCATCAGCGACTCACCCAGATGCTCGCGAGCATCTCGGCAGCCCAATTCATGTGCTCAGCCTCACTCGATGAGTGCTGCCGGTGGTCGCGCGACTTCACGTATTTCGACGGCTCGGCCACCACTCATCCACAGCTCGGCGACTGAACGTGCTCAATATTGGATACAGAATTCACAAATGTAGTAGCAGGCAATTGAAATCCATGGCATTCAGAACTCAGATACATAGTAGTAACCATTCATACATCGGGAACACATTGGCGCATCTTCGCGATGGACCGAACAGCGCTCGGCTTCCCACGAGGAGCTCCTCCCTGTGATGTGGTGGACGCTGCGGCGTCGGTAAAGACTTGCCTGCCAAGAGAGCAGTCGTTAGTGAATGACGGGAATGCAGGAGACGACCACGCACTGGTTCCACCAAGCGAGCAACTGTTTGCGGTGTCGTCCATGAGGCGTATCCGGGCGAGGGCACTCGAAAAAGTCGACAATGTAGTTGTACAGGCCGACGTACGACACGTTGTTGTACACTTTCTTCCATTTGAAGCCATTGGTCAGAGCGAAGTGGGCCTGGAACTTGATCAGTCGCAGTCATCAAGATGAAGAATGAATGACGCACCAGGCTGGCAACGTAGGCAATCGATCGCGGAGTCACCTTGTCGTTCATCCGTAGTATAACCGCCATGGATTGACGACCAGTGCTCTGGCTGTCTGAAGGATCCATGTTCTCAATGTCGAAGGAGGCAGATGCGGGTCCGGTGAAGATTGCCTTGTAGATCTAGTTGTCAAGCAGATGATCAGATTGAGGAAGACCACGGAGAACACAGTTATCACACGCACCAATACCAGGTATCGGTTCTTGAGAAAACCCTTCAGCGGGTTGTTGGGATCCCCCTGGCACAGCTCATAGAACAGACGGAAGTGAAAGTCTTCGTCATCGTCGTCGTCGGCTTCCTCCTCATTGGGGGGCGGCATCTCCAAGTCGTCATCCTCGTCCGATTCATTTGTGGACGGACGATCGCCGAACGCCCGTATCTTCGCGCGCACACTTCATGGAAGCGAGAAGTGAGATGTGAGAAATGATCACTACACATGCAAACAGTGTTACACACCTCTCTTTTGTCCAGTCGTACTTGGTGCTCGTCAACAATCCTCCACAAACGTCGTGCTGCAGGCCCCGATTCACGCGCGACTTTTCCTTGAGTCTGGGTGCGTAGCCGCGAACGGTTTGGCCGTCTTGTTCTTGTGAAGGGCTGTGGTCCAGAGCGCGGATCTCAGGACGATCACGGTCGGCGTTGAGGCACTGTGCAAGGATAGCTGTTGCCGTATTCAGGTTGCGGCTCTTTGCATCGTTCCCGGCTTTGTTAGCCTGTAATCCGGTGAGCAGTATGTGTCCAAGAGATCGTCATGTACTCACAGCCTTGTACTGCGCAATCAACGCTGCTGCCCGCGCCTCAGCTTCTGTCTTGGTCAGTGTGGCATCTGGGGCCGACTTGGAGATAATGTCTCGCTCGAGGTCGGGCATGAGCTTCCGGAAGATCTGCCGCGCTGTGAAGATGCGCTCGAGGCTAGATACGGTGAGTGGGAGTGCCTCTGACCAGACTTTCTTAAGCTTACGGTCGTACTGCTGCCAAGCTCTCCATCTGCTCCGACGTCAAACCCTCAGAGTACTCATCATAGTCAGGGCGTGGTTCCCTGTCTTGCTCGTACGCGTCAGATGTTTCCACAAGTGTGGCTATATCAATGCTGATGTCCATGAGCATGCGTAGTCCACGGGGAAGGTCCCCAGTGCCACTATTCGTGCTAAGAAAGGTGAATGGGTTGTCTGATGTGGTCAGAGATGCACTCACGCATTCCTTTTGCTTCGGCTAGGCTTCTCCGCATTCTTTGCCTGCTCTGCAAAGAACCTCGACTTCCAATAGCTCTCCCCAGCATCAGATGAACGGGAAGGGGAGGAGGAGGGAGGAAGAGGAGAGGAGTATCGTTCACGTTGGTTGCGGGGACGAGGGGATCGACTGCGGGAACGGCGGCTATCTCTGCGACTTCGACTGCGAGAGCGCGATCGTGGGCGCGATCGGTGAGGGGAACGGGAGCGGGAACAGGAACGGGAAGGGCGGGAAGAGTATGAAGTGCGGGAAGGAGAGCGAGGACTCATGTTGGGAGGAACAAGGTGAGATGATCCCAGTACTTCGAGTTACTCCTAAGTTCTTATACCCTCACCCGGCGCATCAAAATCAACAAAACGCGGTCGCGGTGGAACGTGTCTCGTGATTGGAACGATCGGAGAGCATTTCAAATTTGCCAGAAAGCCATCACAGCGATCACTCTCTCACTTTGTCGGAGCCCATGATTCCATTCGGCGCCATTTGCCCTACACGCTTGTTGTCCCTACTTGAATCAAATCTACGATCTTTGCCATGTATCCCTGTGGTGCTCCTGACTGTCCGAAATCTTACAAGGAACCCGGCCCTCGCACAAAGCATCGCGGAAACTGCACCAAGTACATCGCATACCAGGCTCTGCTTATTCAAGAGCGCCAGGCTCGAGCCATTGCAGCGGCGGCAGCTGCTTCCACCTCAAACAAGACATCTGTGCCTGGGACTCTGCAGAATGAAGCCACATTGTCTAAGAGAACTCTTTCGCCGTCTAGTACAGGATTGTCGGATAAGCGAGGTCGAAAGACCCGAGTGTCACCGGTACGCCTCCGGTGCTTCTAGAGTACGACTATGCCACTGATCTTGAGCATGAACTCAGTCATCTGCACCCTCTTCCGTTCGCAATCCCTCACAGTCCCCGCCGCAAGCCTTGAGTCCCGAGCCAGATCCTGGTCCCATGGTCGGATTCGAGGATGTACCACCAACATCGGGCACTTCCTCGCCTCCGTCGCCTCTGTCACCTCCGCTGCCACCCGATCGACCGGCTTCGCCAGTGCAGCAGACCAATACCAAAGAAGTTGCGGGCCGGCCAACTCGAAATCGTGTTCTTCCTGCAAGATACCGTGATCACAACCCAGTACCTCTCACCGCCATTCCTCGGGCAGCTCCGATCTCGGAGCGGAGAGATCTGGTGGCATCCGGATTATCATCCAGTGGAGAAATCAGTGCTGTGCCGCGAGTCAGACTCATCGTACGCGATACATACCAGACAGTGGCGAATGTCTTTGGTCTATGGCGAAGCTACCTACATCGACCGACGTATGATCCCGACGAGCATATCGATGCGGAGGATCTTTCGAACCGCTACCCGTCAGATGACCATCCTGGTGGGGTCATTCGGGCGACACCAGACCGTCCGAAGCAGGCAGGAGTGCCACTGGTCAACAGAAGCCTCCAAGCGTTGTGGGGCTGGTTCAACAACGGCAGTATCAAGAAGACGACAGAGCAGTTCAATGAACTCATATCTGTAATCACTCACAAGGATTTTGAGGCTGACGAGCTGGTCGGTACGAGCGCCGCGCAAGCCAACAAAGAGGCCGATCAAGAGGCCCAGAAGTCGTTGCCATTTCTGACAGAGATGAAGATGGCATCGGTCACAATCAATGTACCATCGGGATCGCCAGACGTACCATCACAGAGCTTTGCAATACCAGGACTGCAGTTTCGTAGTCTCACGTCCGTAATCAAGGCAGCGTTTGCGGATCCGATCTCGGCGCACTTCCATCTTTCGCCCTTCAAACTGTTTCATAACGATACACGCGTTTACACGGAAATCTACAACTCTGATGCGTTCATCGACAAGCATGACAAGATCCAACGGACAGGCGAGCTGCCGCCAGATGATCCAGATTGTAAGCTGGAGAAAGTCGTTGCAGCAATGATGCAATGGTCAGACAGCACTCATCTGACAAATTTCGGCGTCGCAAAGCTCTGGCCCATCTATGTCTTATTCGGGAATCTCAGCAAATACATGCGGTCCAAGCCGGGATTCGGTGCAGAACACCATTTGGCTTACATTCCATCGGTGAGTATCCTATAGTAGAGACCCAGGCATTGCAATTCTGACGCACAGAAGCTGCCCGATTCCTTTGAAGACAAATTAGCTCAGTTCCACACGAAATGGGACAGCCCAAACCAACGGAAAGAGGTACTTACTTTCTGTCGTCGTGAGCTCTTTCAAGAAGTCTGGAAGCTGCTTCTTGACGATGAATTCATGCATGCGTATCGCTACGGTATTGTCATCACCTGTGCTGACGGTATAAAGCGTCGAGTTTACCCCCGTTTCTTCACGTACTCTGCGGACTACCCCGAGAAGTACGTGCAGATCAGTGCTTGAGCCGAGTCTTGAATAACTACTAATCAGAATTGAAGGGTGCTGCTAGCGACAATACGAGAAGGTGGGACTTGCTTGTGTCCGCGATGTCTTGTCAAGAAGTCAGAGGCGCATCGTATGGGAATGGTAAAGGATATCAAAGATCGGTCCCGTGAAGGCACTGTGCGGCAATATCTCACCTCTGTTGTCCGTCAGGCCCGGGATTGGATTCACCATCGCGGTTATGGCATCAAATCTGCGATGGTGGAGAACATACTACAGGCAACCTCGTCTATACCAATTGAAGTACGCCATTTCCTCCTGTTCTTCCGCTGGCTCTGTGATAAACAAGCTTTAGAACGCGTTTATTGCCCGCCTTGGCTCATCTTTTGATCTGCATCGCATGCTGGTGGTCGACTTCTTGCACGAGTTTGAGCTGGGGGTGTGGAAGGCTCTGTTTTCACACCTCATTCGACTTCTTTACGCTCAACCTGGTGGGCCGAGTTTGGTCTCCAAGCTTGATTCCCGGTAAGTCGCAGTGAACTGTGTGATCGGATGACGATCTGACCTTGAAACCGACAAGTTTCCGTCAGATCCCACGTTTTGGACGAGATACCATCCGTCGATTTGCCACCAATGCTTCGGAGATGAAGAAGTTGAGCGCTCGGGACTTCGAGGATCTCCTTCTCTGTTCAATCCCTGTATTCGAGGGCCTGTTCCCTGACGAAGAAGATAATAAGCGCGTCATGAAGCTCCTCTATTGCATGGCTGAATGGCACTCTTTCGCAAAACTTCGGATGCATACAGATTCCACCTTAGCGCATCTTGAAGCACGTACCACAGAACTCGGCCGCTTGATGAGGCAGTTCCAGTCAAAGACCTGCTCGAAGTATGCGACCACAGAACTCCCGCGAGAAGCTGCTGCTCGGGCAAGGCAGGAGCAGAGACAGGCTCAGGCAAAGGCCGAATCGGATTCGACTCCATCCTTGACGCGCAAGAAATGCGCCAGAAACAAAAAGGGATTGAATTTGCACACTTACAAGTGGCACAGTCTCGGTGACTACGTCATGTTTATCCGGCTCTTTGGGCCAACAGACAATTACTCGACACAAGTTGTAAGTGTATTCCGTGATCACTCTGAAAATGGAATGCTTAACAAGCTTCAACTTAGGGAGAAAGTATGCACCGCATCGTCAAACGTTTCTATGGCTTGACCAACAAACGCAATCATGCAGGTCAGATAGCTGTGCGGGTGACCCGGATGGCCCGCGCTCGTGTTTCGCAACGTGTCCGGGATGCGAAGAAGATGCGCCATTTCCACCTTGTTGGATTTGACCAGCCAGATCCCTTCACAATGAACGATAATCAAGCTCATCACGCAACAAGCCTAGTGCGGAGATATCCCTTGTTCCTCGAAGACTTCAGCTTTGCTCAAACAAGGGATCCTGCGCTAAAGGTGCGTCTCTCCCGAACGTGCCGCCTTGCCAATACAAACTTATTGCGGACACAACAGAATTTTGTACCAAAGCTGCAGGACCATCTGCTCGGTCGCTTGCAAGAGCGCAATTTTGATGGTGACACACACGAGTCGTTCAAAGCGCAGGATCGGCAAAGTGTTCAGGTTCACGGGAATCGGCTATATGCCACAAAGACGCTCCGGATCAATTACACTATGTACGACGTCCGTCGCGAACAAGACATCGTCAACCCACGGACTGCACCATTTGTGATGGTGCGCTCACCGGAAACAGAACCAGACGCACATCCTTATTGGTATGCACAAGTTCTGGGAGTCTTCCACACCTCCGCATTCATATCCTCTTCAACCCTTGTCACGGCTCCGAAATCATTCGAATTTCTATGGGTCCGATGGCTTGGAGTAGAGCCTGGGCATCGTGCCGGTTTCAAGAATGCACGGCTGCCTAAGGTTGGCTTCGTGGAAGAGTCAGATTCGCTTGCGTTTGGGTTTTTGGACCCGGCTTATGTCGTTCGTGGCTGTCACTTGGTGCCGGATTTCAATAGCGGTCGGACCAGTTCCCTGCTCAGCACAACGAAGAAGACCGCCGCAAGACCTGCCATAGATGAGACAGATGATTGGGCTTCATTCTACGTGAACATGTGAGTCGTCTGTTTCTTGTTTGAAAACGGTGTCTTACACAGATCGCAGATTTCTCGATCGTGACATGCTCATGCGCTACTTTGGAGGGGGCATTGGGCACCTGTCTGTGCAGCCAGAGACGGAAGAGGAGGATGGAGATGAGCCGGAAGAAGATGAAGAGGATCAAGAAGTCACACTAGCGGATGAGAAGGAAGGCGACGAAGAGGAGGAGGAGGAAGAGGAGGAAGAGGACGAGTCGTCAGAGGAGGAAGAGGATGAGGAGGACCTTCAAAACGAGGACAACTTTGGGGCAGATGACGGCAAAGATGACTATGAAGACACTGGATATGCAGATCTCTAGAAAGTAGTGTAAAGCCTGAGTACGCGACACGCGTCTTAATGAGTGTTCCTGTCAGATCAGGGGGAGCTGTATTGCATTCGGCGAGCTGTACTCAAGCATCGTGCGGACTCGGAGTTGGATAAGCTTGAGATTGAACGTTTATGGGGGGCTATCACTCATTATGTACTGAAATTGAATACAGTCCTCGATCCGGAGACTTGTCCTTGATTACAGTGGCTGTTACTCATGAGAACCAGCCGTGCTAACATATATGTATGAGAGATTAATCAGTCTGCTTGGTGCTTCCCGGACACTGCGCAGTCTGATGACTACTAGCGAGACTGATTGTCTTCCGCTGAGCCCAGTGACCGACTCAGTGCAGCTCACGAGCAGCTGATGAGCCGGATCTGCGCATCAACGTCGTTGATCATATCACGATCACCATCAGCGCTCATACGCAGTTGTCTAATTTCCTGATGTGAGTCAGTGTACCAACATGGCGAATAAGGGGTGGGCCGGCCAGCTTCTGCGGGACTGCCTCGTGCCATTCCACAACAGTATCTTGCACTCCATTCTTCACCAGGAGCGCAAGAATCTCTTGTGAGACATCATGGGCGGCAGCAGAGGAGGTAGACCCAGGAGCGACACCGGATCTCTCTTGGCAACAAACCACCACGTGCTCGGACCAAACGCCACTTCACCGCCTCTGGAAGTGGTCGCGTCTCCGAGTCGGGGTAGTCCTTAGCTTCTTTCTGAACTCGTAACTAGAATACATTGGACATGTCGACGAACGGACGCGAGAAAAACACGCCACCAGCATCACAAATGCAGCGTACAACGTCAACACCTCAGTTACCACCGCCAACCCCCCATATAGACCCCGCGGGGGACCTCCTGGGTACCCTTAGACGTAGCTCTATGGGTACCCAGGAGGTCCCCCCCCGCGGGGGTACAGGGGGCAGCTGGCCATTTTGGGGCAGGGGGATGGGCGGGGGTCAGGACGGGGGTCAGGACGGGGGTGCCCATACATACCATGTGACTTGTCCATAAGAGCGGGCAGCTGGGCGGGAAAAAAAAAATCAATCACATGATGCACCAAATGGGCGGGATGGCGGGAAAATCACGTGATGAGCTGCAGGAAAAATTTCAAAATGGCGGGGGTTGGCAGGGGCGTTGGCGGGGGCGCTACCGCCCCTCCCGCACACTGCAGCGGGCAGTGGGCGCATTATCACGTGACTTTTTGGGGGCCCCTTTTTGCACCATTTGGCATGATTTTGGAGGTGCTGCTTGATAGATTGCATGTTGTGGCAGACAGTGGGCGCAAAATCACGTGATTTTCCGCCAAAAAAAAATGGAAGCCTCTCTAACTCATCCCAGTATAATTTCCATAGGTAAATACACTAATTGACCATGCATTTGAGCTTAGAAAACCCCAAATGCACCCTGCACAATAGGATTGTTGATGCACTTGATCCCATCATCTGGCGGGGTCTGCCGCGGGGTCAGTCTGGCATATTCTATATTTGACCTCCTTTAGCCGTAGCAGTAGTGCTGCTGACCACCAGGGCAAGAATACAAACATTTATGAAATATCTTATCAAGGTAGACAAAGCCAATAGGGAAGGTGAAGATGTGTAACTGGATATTGCAATTGATGCAGGGCCCAGTGCGGGGTCTGGTGCGGGGTCTGGTGCGGGGTCTGATGCGGGGGGTCTGGTGGGGGAGCAGGGGCAGGGGTGGATTACACAAAATTTTGATGTATCTACTCTGGCTAGGGTTGTAGAATATCACGTAACTTTTCTCTATTTTGGCAGGGAATGGGGGATAAAGATGCACAACATTGCCCGCATGTTTTGGCTGGGTCTCCAGGTCAAGTCATGTGATTTACCAATGTTTCGGTGGGGGGTAGGAGATTAAAGCATGGTTTTGCCAGTACATTTTGGTGGAGTTTGTGGCTTCAAAAGATGCTAACATATTAAAAAATGCGCAACCACATGTGTTCAGCAAATCCCCAAGGGGGTTGTCCAGTCACAGCTACATTGATCAGCAGGAATAGTCATGGCTACTGCTCCCCTTCCGAACAGCTGAAGTGGTCCTCCTGCTTTTTAAGGATGACTGCATCTCCAATGTTTCACTCTCTTTAATAGCATATTTGATACAGCTGTTACAAGCATCATTTGCTGGATTGAATATAACCTGTGAACATCACATTGAGACACTGTAATGAGTGTGCTAATACACAGAACCCTGACAAAGAATTGCGTAGAAATCTTGTGAATACAATTCTTGCAGGGGATTGGGCGGGGTTGACTGCGGGGGTGCGCCAGCCCCTGCTGGCCAATCAAATGTGGAGCGACCAGATGAACACACATAGAAACACATTCCCATGCTTTTATACTGCAGCCCAAGCAACTTCATGGTTACCTCTACCCAATTCCAACAAAGGAACTTGACTGCTCTTGTTTCTGGGCGACAATTGATTTTACAAGCTTGGGTGGGTTTTGCACGTTCCAGTGAGAACAGAGGTTGTCTGGTAGGAGGTAGGGGACCGAAACATTGTTAGAAACAATATTCAAGATGACCAGAGGCTCACATCTCTTTAAACTGGCCCGTATCCCACATTATAAATCACACTATACTTTGGATTTATTTCGTATTTTTGAATTGTTACAGGGTCCAGCACTCCCCAGATTTTGTTCAGGCATTGCCAAAGGGTGTATCCTTCGGCTGTGTGAAGTTGGGCCCTTGCAGAAAATATATTTTGCGCAATATGCAAAGTGAACCATGTTGAAGTGTTCTCTATATAGGAACATTGAGTCACTATGAGCTGTTTCCATGTTTCGAATTTCGGGCTGACAGAGGACATGAAGTGGCATTATATTCAACAAGAACAGCATAAGGAGACATAATTCCGATGGTTTTTAGCTGCATATATGTAAAAACAGTCTCAGAAGAGCAAAACATAGTTAGGTACGACGTTTATACAGGTCCTGATTGGCTACTGACTTGATGTGTTCCGGGCTGTCACTTTACATAATATTACATATTCGGAGATGGCAGGGGCTGAGGCACCGGTGTGGCGGGGGTGATGGCGGGGGTCAATCAGTGGCAGGGTAGTTGCGGGGGTGCTGGCGGGGGGGCGGGGGTGAAGGCGGGGGTGCAGGCAGGTGGTCATGGCTGGGGTGGGTAGAGACTCATTGGTAAAAACAATCAGCCATGTGTTTGCAGTTGGTCTTCCAAAAGATACAAGCCAAGACACAAGTTGTTAAGAGTTTACATGTCAAATTTGCACTGATAACCAAGCTCTGACTATTGTGGGACAACTTGCCAGTAAATACATCCTCTCACATCACACCGAGTAATGAATATAGTTCACCTCAAATCCACTCTATTTAATGAATTCATGCTGAAACCCAAGCATGTCATAGTTCGGCCACTTTTTCATCTTATCATCGACGATCTTATCCTGACACGACTTATCTTATCACGGATCACGGCATCAGACGGCCCGGACTAGGGGTTCCAGGGATTATCTTCATCGATTCGAGGCTGCGCGACATATGCTCCAGAAGGTTCTACTACGACCCATGACCAGCGTTCCATGCGGTACATAGCCCTATGACTCATTAGTTGTAGATATGACTCAGACTGGATTTGGGTATAAATACTGTAGCTACTTGGTTGTATTCTCCAGTCTTCGAATTCACTTCTCTTTTCGACTTTGTTTTTGGGTTGATTGTCACATAATTCGAAGACTCCCCTCATACCCTCCTACCTCATACCTCTTACCCTGTATCTTGCACCGCTACGCCCACTATATCCTCTTAACCCTTATCACCCCACTCACCCTTTTACCGAATCATCTAGTTGTCCTCCACTATCGCAGTGAAGGGTTCATATCAAGCAAACAGCACCAGGCCACGGGTAACGTTGAGCCCGACCCAAGCCTTACGGTAGCTACAAGGAGTGCTGCGGAGACCTTCGGGAAAACGCACCTCGGGATCATCGGGCACGTGAAGAGCTAGGCCCGGGATCTTTTTGCTAGCAAAAGAACCCTCCCTCGAGTGCTTGTACAGCACACGATTCCACCATTTCGTACCGATTCCCATCGTCGTCTGGGAGTCCGTCCCCTCCCCCCATCGTACCATCGTCGCCCGATCTGGCGCATCAAAACCAACCCGGACCCTCCAACCCCTACCTCGCCCTCCCACCGCCTGAAGACGAGATCCCCGACCTCGACGAACTGCCCTCCGAACAACCACCCTCGCCTCCACCTCACACGCCTGCCCCTACCATGTCAGGGCATCACCGCATCACCCTCGCCGCCAACCCCCCCTACTTCGATGGCGACAAGTCCAAATACCTGGGCTTTGTGGACGCGTGCACCACTTACATCGGTGCCTATCGATCGGAGTTCTCACAAGATGAGACTAAAATCCTCTTTGTCCTCTCCTACCTCCGTAACGAGAACGGCACGAGCTGCGCTGCCTCGAGATGGGCGATGAACTGGAAGCAGCACAACTTCGAGGGCTTCCAGGGACTGAAGGCAGGAGTCACATCAAAGAACTTCCTGGAGGAGCTTCAGAGGGCGTTCGGGGACTCCAATGCGGAACAAGTCGCCGCTGCTCGGCTTATGGCCCTGCGTCAAAACAAACGGTCCTTCGCGGACTACATCTCTGACTTTGAGATGTTGGCCGCGGATGCAGGCTACAATGTGGTTGACACCACCGACGACAAAGGCGAATACAAGAAGGGGGACCAGGATAATATCCTCATCGAGTTCCTGGAGCGCGGACTCAGCAGCGAGATCGCCAGTCGTCTCTACAACACCGGTGTCCCTCTGCCCAAGGCCTATGGAGCGTTCAAAGCCTGGTGCATCAACATCGAAGCCAATGCTCTGCGTGACCAGCTGCGCAAAGCGTCGTATGGGCACCCCACACAACGACCACCTCCCCAGTTCCGTCCCCAAACGGCACCAGTGACGCCCACACCCGCTCCGACCCGACCCGCTGCCAACGAACCGGTTCCGATGGAAATCGATCGTACCCACGCCCGCGGCCGCAATATCATCTGCTACAACTGTCAGCAGCCCGGGCACATTGCGCGGAACTGCCCGGAGCCCAAGAAGAAGCGCACGTTCTTCAATCGGGCCACAATGCTGGAAGAAATCGAGAACGGGGACAAGGACAACGAGTTCCTGAAGGAGATTGCCGAGAAGCTGCGCGAGAAGGGTTTTTGAAGCGCTCCACTCCTCTAGCCAAGGAGGTGGAGCGTCCGGACTATGGACAATTTTCTGTACTTGTTTCGATTAAAGATACGGACAATATTTCATCTACATACACGATCTCAGACTCACTACGTACAAATATTCACGATTTTCTTATTGCCGAGATGGAAAAAGAACGCCAGGAAAAGATAGCTCTAAATAGAAAATATTTACAAGATAAAAAGGATCGGAAGATAGCAGCTGTGGATAAATTATTTTTGGACTCTTACGTATTTATGGCTCGTGGAGAAGGAACCACGTCAACAAAGACCGAAAAGGGGAGCATCGCTCCGAAGGCTCGATCCTTGGAAAAGGAGGAAGCGCCCAAGGAATCTGCCAAAATCGAGGTTCCAGAAGCACCCAAACGCACCAGGGTGCCAGATGCCATCCAGAGGAAATTGGCGGCCGAGAAACAGAGGGGCCCCCAGCCCAGCAGATTGGCGCAGGAATTGCGCAGTTACCAAGCCGAAAGAAAGAGGCATTCGATGGACGTATATGTCCAGATCACGGGCCTGGACTCAGGGAAAACACGTGGAGT